TTTTCAATCTGGAGATCGACAAACTTTGTCTATTTAATTAGGTTCTAAAAACGCATTAACACCTATTTATTCTCCACTTGAATCGTAAGATAATTTATCACAAAATCGAGAAAAAATGTGGCCTATAAAAATATTAGGCCGTTTGACCTGAGCCTGTTTCACATGTCAAAATAAGGAGGTTATATAGGCCAATATTTTCGTAGTCCACATTTTGCAAACGGTTATTTATGAATTTTTAGTATCTCATTTAATTAATTGATTTAATTTAAATTGCTGAGAATTTTTTTTAGTAAAAAATTTGTAGATTACGATAGGATGAAGCCATTCACGAAGTATTAGGTGGATCTTGATAATGTGATAAAAAGGGATCTGTAATACGGACTAGTGGGTTGCTTACTCTATCTTACAAGGAGGAATAGTTTGCAATTTGTTCATGTTACAAACCCATTCCCTTATTCGTGGCCATCCATGATTTATATGATTTGAAAACATGAAATTCAGTAACCTCAACTTAATTTAGTAACTGGAAAACTTGGTTACTACAACATTTTTTGAATGGTTTTGTTCTCTTACGAATCTCATTTCACAATTCAAATGTAATTTATAGAAATAAGTCTGTTTAACAAAGTTGGTAAAAATCATCTTTTGCTGACCGAGATTTTCAACAAGACCGCTTAACCTAATTGTTAATTTGACGCAAAATGTAATCTTTTTTAATATCTACACACTATTTTTTTTTTTGTTGGATCCACCGTTCAAGAGTTATAGAAGAAAAAAACAAAAATGTGTGATTTTTTAAATATTATTTTTGCACCCTTATATAAATGTTTAAAAAAATGTAAGACTCGACTATTTTTTTTTTTTTTTGCAACATTAATCTAGTTTTGATCGACAAATCTAATATTTTTAAAAATCAGCGGCTTTGGAATGACAGACAAGCTGCATTTTAATTATAATAATATACATTTTCGCAAATCACATTCAAACTTTCTCCTATTAATGGTACTATATTTAGTCCCTGCATCTGGGTTTTGGTCTGTTTTTAGAGAATTTTACATAATAGTAAAATATGAACTTTGTTAAACTCAAAAAGACTGCTGTATTAATGAAAAAATATGTCGACGCTTCGAATTTTAAAACTCAATTATAAAAATTACCTACCTAAATTACTATAAAATGTCTATATGCCAAAGTATTGGTATCATCGAAGTTGGATTTTCAATGGTTTTGAACATCGTTAATCGATATGTTTTTATAACAAGCCATGGCGAATAGCGATCCAGGATTTGAATTGGGGAAGGGCTTCAACCCCAAAGCTGTTATATACATATAGAAAAAATAAAGTATCTAACTACCTACACAAAATGATATTTAAGTGATTCTTGAAGATCTATTAAAAAAAAAAAAATATTGAATATTTTGTTCGTAAAACATTGATACATTTAGTCGCTGTATTTGTATTATAATTTAGAAAAAAAAAATGAAAATATTGTGGTTGTATAAGTATTTAACTCAGATCACTCACAATAAAAAATATGATCCAATGAAAAAACATTTATTTTACATTATGGAAAGGGGGGGGGAGAGTCAACCCGAAGCCCCCCGCCGCTTGGGTGTATGACAAAAAGTTTTCTTCAAATATGCCACAAAATTTCGAATCCGCTGTTGGACTATACGACATATAGCATAATGAAATACGCGCTAGCACTCAATTTAAGATTTATGTAAACAATAGTTTATATACTTATTATAAAATAAGTAGAAACAAGATAAAATAAATTTAATAGATATATGTAAAAATAAATAATAAATATTTAAGATGAAAATTGTTAAATTGAATCATTTATTATTAATTATATAATTCACACTTAAAACCTCTATCATAACAGCAAACAAAATAATCCATTCGTTTCAGGAATGCATCAAATTCTGTATAGTATTTTTCTATTCTTTCCGAAGGTGGACATAGTCTCAACAGGACTGTCAACAACAAGCCAAACCATAAGCAAACAAACTATACGCTGGTAGGCTTGTTATTTTTTGCGTCGTACCAGTTTTGTTGTCGACTAGATTGAATCTGTCCAAACATCTCTTAGTTACAATATGTCCTGTCAACATATGAGTTTGTTTTTACGTTAGATTTTTATGTTTTGTTCTACGTCTGTCTTTTGTTGATATCCACCAGATCTGGTTTCGCATCTGCTTTGTAATTTTTAACGGATACAATCGTTGCGTTGTGGAATAGTAAGATTGTTTGTTATTAAAAAAAAAAAGGAAACTTAATATAACTGCCCGCTTTTGAAATATTCAGTTCAAGTTGCAATTTTTTTTTCTTCCCATCAGAAGTATTTAATAAAAGCTTCGTACTTTATAACTGCAGAGCTTTTAAAAGTATTAACGCAAAATAAAATTGGATGATGAGAATTCTCTTACCCATTTTTTTTTCTTCTTTTCCTCGATTAATAATGTTAGTGAGTGATGTTTAAATGATGCCTAGGATGAAGGGGAAGGGATCAAAAGAAAAACTCCCCCATCTCCAGAGCTCAGTGAAATTTCGCCCGGAATCTAATTTTGAAAGGTAGGGTGGAAGCAATTTTATCTCCTAATTTCGTCCAGCTTCCTTTTCTAGTACAGAAGGAACAAACAGTCCAACTTAGGGCTGGATTAATTGCCAATTAAGCAAACTCGACACTTTGCCCACTGTTAACTCGTATAAAAGTACCCCAAGAGCAACGTCGTCAGATCCTGATGTGAGAAATAAGCTTTTATTCCTATCACCACTTTTCTTTATCAGCACGTTTACACATTTATATGTGTTTCACAGTTCATCATTTGGCCGTTAGGAGATTTGTATTTTTTATAAATTAACTTTTATAATAAATTATATATTTTGTTCCTGTAATATGATCATTAGTTCAAAATTCCTTATTTTTTTTTCTATTTTCCTCCAGTTTTTTTTTTTTTTTTTGTGATGTCGGTTTTGAGGGAATGTCATTAAGAACAGATTCTTAGTAATATTCCAGTAATTTTTTTTTTTTTGAAAAACGACAATAAATATCCTTAAATCATTCAAGATTAATTTATAAGAATTTATTTATTTAGTAATGTAATATTCTGTCACTTGGACAATAATTGAAGGGAAGTAAGACCACATTCATACGATATATACAGAAAAGATAAAATAAACTGAAGAAAAATAACAACTAAATAATAATCAAAAAGTATACATAATAAATAAAAATAAAATAACTTAAAGATAATGTATAAGAATAAAGACTGGAATAATGATACTGTATGTTGATGAAAATTAAACAGTAAAAATAAATACCATATATGTATATCAACTTGTGGACTAAATTATCACATGGTTGTTTATATTATATTTTTTTGTTTACATACCAATTATGAATAAAATTGAACATCCCTAAATAGAACTGGTATTTGTTATAAAGCCAGAGTTAGAAATAATGCTATTTTTTTTGTTCTCGTTGAGATAAATAAATTGATGATTCGGTATGTGTTACACTTCTGTATCTGTATTATTGCGTTACCTTCTTCCTTCTTTGAGCGTAATAACACTTTTGGATGAAACTCAGACCACACAGTAAGTTGACGCCTCCGTGAAGTGAATCTGATCTGTAATGAATTTAATGAATGAAACGCCACGTTTCTGTCAATATTTTATTTATCTTCATCATTTCATTATGCTATTGTAACAACCTATACCCAGAAAGTAGTCACTAATTTCTTATTCTTTCCTGTAAGAAATCAGGATCTTAAAACGATGGATTTTCTATCTGCTTATCTAGGTTTCTATCATCTATGTTGCACTCCTTGAGCGAACACTATAATATATATGTTTATTGCCGACACAAGAGAGAGTGATGAGAAGGCCACACAAAGTGAGATTGTTGAGTTTTGTGACAGAGTTGGTAATCAACCACAATATTTATTTTAACCCGACCAGTGATGACTTAGATAATTGTTTATGAGATTGTAGACACTATAAAATATTATAAATGGGTGAAGTTTTTATTTTTTATTTTATTTTATTGGAATTTACAACTGTATTACATGGAAAATCCAATAAGTAAATGTGACATAGGTAACATGACATGTACAACATGAAGAGAAACTACCATTGATAAAATTGCTTCCAGGAGATAAAATTGCTTCCACCCTACCTTTCAAAATTAGATTGGTAGAACTCAAATTAAAGTTCTATATTAGAATGTCCCGAGGCCATCTTTTCAGACACCTCGGAGGGTTATCGGGGTTAGAGGAGGAAGCAAGGTTTGAAACGAAAGGATTCGGATGGTTCTGCAGTTTGTTATGGAAGGATAGGTATCTGGATTGGGCCAAATCGGAAACATATGGAACATTAAGGTCTTTATGGATGATTTTATTTGTGACAAAGTAAGGAGCGTTCAGGATTTTACGAAGGATTTTGGATTGTAAGGATTGGATATGAGAAGAATTCGATGGTTTAGTGGAGCCCCAAAGCTCAATTCCGTAAGTCCAAATAGGTCTTATTATTGTCATATATATGAGTCGTTTGTAATTGATTGAAAGCTTAAAGCGTTTGTCTAGTAAGTGCTGCAGTAGTCGGGCGGTTTCTAGTCGTTTCATCCTAAGTATCGGATTTGTTCGACAGGGATAAGAGGGCTATTGTTGAAGGATACTGTAGGACAGGAAGTCATAGGTTTACGGCGAAGAGTGAAGGTAATTTGTTGGGATTTATTTGAATTTATTTTAATCCTCTAGTTTTGACACCATTTTTCAAGAATTGTGATGTGTGATTGAAGAGTTTGGGATGCAATAGATGGATCGTTATTAACTGATAAGATACACGTGTCATCGGCATAGGTGGTGATGACAGTGTTAGGGTGAAGTTAAGAGATAAACTGTTGAAATCTCAGTTTCACTCGACACATAAACTGTTCGATTTGAGAAACTCTCATATGTAAATGATAATAATAGTTGAGATGATATAGACAATAATGGGAGCCACAACAGAGATTCTCAACTTGAACGGAAATCCTTTGAGTTTTGCCTGCAGTGCAATATGCTCTCTTTACAACTTGAGCCACTCAGAAGACATTATCCATTTCGTTGCAGTTAGTCCAATCTTAGCAAAAATACGTTACCGTAAGTGAGGCCTTGCGAAGCAATTTAAATGGACTAAACTACTTATAATTGTTCTTATAAATAAAGAAGCCATGATTTTTAAATCCAATTAAACTGAATAATTTTGTGATTCAGAAGATCGGTATTGTATTATATTATATATAGTATATATAGTATATATTTATTAATATTATTATTTGGTCCACTTGGTTCATGGATTTTATCCACGTCAGTGCAAATTTTTTATAATTAGGAAAATTGTTTAGTAACACCATATAATCCTTGTATATCGCTAGAATCGAACAGCTATCCCTTCTGAAGGTTTACTTTAAAAATTTTATGAATTATATATTAAGCTAGTAATCATTATGTTCGAAATGAAGTAAATTTTTAGCTGTTAGGTAAATACTTAATAATCATACGCAAATGTATATTATACCTGATATGCTTACTGATGTATTGCCCCTATTTAAATAATTAACGTGGGTGTATCACACCAACAGCAAACGTACTGGTACCCCTACGTACTCAACAAACGGTTTACAAGGTCGAAAAGCAGTTGGCTGCAGCTGTCTTCTTTATCAATGATTTCAGCTTTCTCTAGAAAACTCAATGAGATATATTACAAACCTGTATTTGTTCATAGTAGTTCGAATTTACAAAACTAATGCATTTGTCATGCCATGTTAAAATTCTGCATAATTTGAAGAATGATACTACAAAAATATAAAATTATATAAATAATTAAATCAAAGCAAAATTAATTTTACCATATCCCTCCCTAATTTATATTAACTCTTTAAATTCAATAATCAACCTGGTTTATAAAATACTTTAGACTTTTGATACAGTCATATATTTATAAAAAATAAAAATATTGTAACTATAGCTATTAATAAATGATCAAAAATTCATTACTGCTACCCATAATGAGAGTTTAATATTCTTTGATAAATAAAAATAATATATTTTTTCCGAATTTATTACACCATGATCACGATGGATGCTTATGATATAAACTGTATTGGTTTACCTTATGATCAATAAATTATCTATGATCAGATTTGAAAAGGTAAAAGTAGGTGAGACGTCAGTTATCTTACCTGTTTTTATTTGACCTCTTTTTTAATTAAATATATTTATAATATTTTCTAATTAATTTATTGAGATATCTCTTGATCTAAAACAAGAACCAGTACACTAACAAGCTTCTTTCATTCGCAAAACTTGATACTCCTCCAGAATTTTCATCTTGCGAGGATGCCATTAATTTATACCAACCCTTTCCAGGATTAAAACTTGCTAAACCACTTGGAAATATATAAATGGAAATAAATGGTTCATATTTTTATTTCTTACTTACAAAAATTATATGTGGGTTAATACACTAATAATTACAAAAATATATATATTTTTAAAATGTTGTCTCATGTTTTTTGTTTCTTGTTTCAGATGAACGAAATGTAATGCAGCTTCAGTGAAAATGGCACTCAGGCGATATCAGTTAGTTCTTCTGCTTCATTCGCTATTAATTTTTGACGAAACTATAGTCGAATGTGCACCCAAACATTTTAGATTCACAAAACCACAGTACAATGCTAGCATTCCAGAAAACTCGGCTGGTAAGGCTTTTGTCACAGCTGAGGAAAAGATGGGAATTTATAGGGGTGACGAAGATATTGAAATTAGATACAAAATCGTTTCTGGTGACAAAGAAAAGTTCTTTAAAGCCGAAGAGAGACTTGTGGGTGATTTTTGGTTTCTCCTCCTCCGAACAAGAACAGGAAACATTGATGTTCTTAACAGGGAGAGAAAAGAACGTTACACCTTAGAGATAAAAGCAACTGCTACCAAAAGAGACGGGAAGAAAGCGTACTATGCAGAAGCAGAAACCGTTGTAATCGTTACAATTCTAGACGTCAATGATCTTAATCCACTATTTTATCCCACTGAATACGAGGAAATCGTTCCGGAAGACATGCCTTTACACCAAAGTATCTTAAGGGTTTCAGCTGAAGATGCAGACTTAGGAAGGAACGGTGAAATATATTACAGTTTTCAAGAGAACTCTAAGCAGTTTGCAATACATCCTACAACTGGTATTGTTACCCTTACAAGGCCTTTGAGGCACACTGAAAAGCCGATCCAGGAACTGACAGTACTTGCTCGGGATCGGGGTGCCGTCTTCAAGGGAGGTGGTAAGCCCAGCACGGCAAAACTAAAGATCATTGTTAAGCCTGTCAATTTATATGCTCCTGAAATATCTATTCAGCATCTACCTGATATCGTTGAAAACTCCAATACAGACGTCTATGCTATAGTAAAAGTAACAGATCCAGACGAAGGCATACACGGTTTTATAAGAAGTTTAGATATTGTTGACGGGGATCCAGATGGGCATTTTCGAGTTAAACAGTATGGAACTGCTGCTCCTCAAGTTTCTGAATTTACTATTGAAGTCCTGAAATTGCTAGATAGGGAAATCGCACCTCGAGGCTATAATCTCACTTTGCGTGCTGTGGATAGGGGAATCCCGCCTCGGCAGACCTACAAATCTGTGCCAGTGAATCTTGTCGATCAAAACGACAACGCTCCTATATTCGATAGGGAAATTTACGAAGTAGATATCCTCGAAACTGCTCCTATCAATTCTCCCATAATTAGACTTAAAGTAACTGATGCGGACCAAGGAAAAAATGCACAAACTTATTTAGAAATAGTTGGAGGAAACGAAGGAGACGAATTTCGTATCAATCCAGATACAGGGATGCTTTACACCAACGTTTTAGTTGATGCAGAAGTAAAATCATTTTATACCCTAACTGTTACAGCCATTGACCAAGGAAATACAGGCACAAGGAAACAATCTTCTGCCAAAGTGAAAATAAACGTAGTGGACACCAATGATAATGATCCATTATTCGAAACTTCCGATTTAGAAGTTGAAATATCGGAAAATTCGCCTGCTGGAACTTCCGTTACAAAAATGATTGCTAAAGATAAAGACTCCGGAGAAAATTCCTATATTTCTTATAGTATTGTAAACCTAAACTCTGTGCCTTTCGAAATTGATCATTTTACCGGAGTCGTAAAAACAACGCAGATATTAGATTACGAGTCTATGCGACGTCAATACGTGCTCAGAATCAGAGCATCTGACTGGGGGCTTCCATTTAGGCGACAAACAGAAACACAATTGAAAATTCGTCTCAAAGATATAAATGACAATAGACCTCAGTTTGAGAAAATAGATTGTGTTGGATATATTAGTAGATTTCTTCCGATCGGAACTGAAATAATCACACTGTCTGCTATAGATTTCGATGCTGGAAATATTATTAGTTACCGGATCGTTTCGGGTAATGAAGATGGCTGCTTTTCGCTGGATACCACGTCTGGAGTGATTTCAGTCACGTGTGATTTGTCGGATGTTGCCGTCGAAGACCGAGAGCTAAACGTAACCGCAACTGACGGAACCCACTTCGCAGACGTTGTTCGTGTTGCTGTCAAGCTCATCAACAAACGGACTTCATCTCCACCTGGAAGGATATTGGCTGACGATTCAGGCACGTTCGATTGCAAAGATACCGGGGTTGCTAAAAAGCTAACGGATATATTGGCCGAATCAGAAAGAAGCAATTCCATTGAAAAAGGCGAACGCGAAGAATTCGCTATGATGCCTAGCAGATATGGTGAGAACATCCATTCTCCCGAATTCGTCAATTTTCCATTAAGTGTTCAGGTGAATGAGTCTGTAGGAATAGGAGAAACATTGCTCCGAATCAAAGCCACAGACAGAGATAGAGGCTACAATGGAAAACTGATTTTCGGAATATCTTCGGGAGACATAGATTCTGTGTTTCGGCTCGATCCGGACTCGGGTGAAATAAAAGTTATCGGATACTTAGATAGAGAAAGAGAGACTCAGTATTTACTTAACATCACTGTTTATGATCAAGGAAAACCGCAAAAATCTAATTCTAAATTATTACCTATTACAGTTTTAGATGTCAATGATAATGCTCCCAAATTCAAAGTTCCACTGGCTAGTTTTCGAGTTACAGAAAACGCTCATAACAAAACAGATATTTTTAGGGTTAATGCTACAGATTTGGACGAAGGAGAAAACGCTCATGTTGAATATAACCTGTTGACAGACACAGATGAATTCAGGGTGGATCCAGCGACGGGAATACTTTATGTTTCTGCTCCGCTGGACAGGGAGAAACAAGAGCTCTACGAGCTAGTTGTGAGAGCAGTGGATTGTGCCGGTACGCCTGGCTCCATCAATGCTCTATTTTCAGATGCTATAATCAGAGTGATCGTTGACGACGTCAATGACAACACCCCCGCATTTTCTCTCCCTTCGTATTCTGTGAAGGCGAGGGAAGACATTCCTGAAGGAAGCGTAATAGCTGTGATTAGTGCCTCTGATCCTGATCTTGGTTCTGGAGGAGATATACGATATGTTCTTATACCAGAAACTGAAGACGATGATACGTTTGAAATAGACGAGCTGACTGGGACCATAAGGATTGTTAAACCTTTGGATTTCGAAGATCGGCAAGTTCATTCGCTGATAGTCCGGGCAGAAGACAGGGGTACCCCTCCTCTCTCATCGGAAGTGACCCTTTTGGTTGAAGTAGTTGACGTGAATGAAAATTTGAACCCGCCTATGTTTCATGACTTCGTGGTGGCCGCGTCGGTCCATGAAAACCAGCCGGTCGGTACGTTTGTGGTCAAAGTGAAGGCTATTGATGATGACCCAGCTGATAGTGACGATTCCAGGGTGGGATATTCCATCAAATCTGGTGATGGGCTTGGATACTTTTCCATTGACAATGAAGGTATGTACCATTTTCATTCATTTTTTAACATAATTATAATTTTCTATAATTATCAATTAGCCATTTATTTATTTTATCATTATTATTATTTAACATTACGAATCTGATATTGGTTTAATCTTTTTTTCATTTTATATTCACAGTTTTTAGTTTTTGAGATTTGGTATAATATGTTTTTGTTTTCAATTTGTGGTTTTGAACAATGTGGTTATTATACCTTCAAAATAATTTTGACATCAAGATTGATTTTTTGAAATAGCTACGAAGTCAATGATGACTGAAAAATAATGATATAACACAATTAGGATAATAAAATAAACATAAAATTTTAGGAGATATTTAGTTTATCGCTTTAAGTTTATTTACTGAAGCTTTTATTTTTAATGCTTGAAATACTTGCCTTCATGCTGTTCTTTTTTATTATTGTTGTTTATGATATTAGTTAAGATTTTAGTTGACTTTATCTACTTCTGAATTATTGTACTGTTTTTATCATTTATAATTGATAAATGTAGTTGGACATTCTTAGATATTATGAAATACTGAAGAGTAATCGTATATTTAGGAATTTTGAAATCTTGAATGTTTTTAAAGAATGTCTTATTCGTACTCTTTATGAAGAACTTAACATTTTTCTTTTTTCTCAAGAAAAACATATACTCATAAAAATTATATTATTTCAAGACAAAAATTATTTTTGTATACAATAAGCGTGTATTTGGGCCCTTATATTTGTTTTATAATAATTGTTAAACTGAATCTCATCGATTGAAAAATATTTGTTATATAATTAAAACCAAAAAAAAGAATCAAGGCCCAAGCATCTCTGTAATAGACTACCCAATCTGGGAGTTTTCTCTATTTAAAGGTAGCCCTTTAGGTACAAAAATAACGAAAGCATTTCTTCTGAAATATTGTTTATCCATAATGATATAAAAACCTAATATAGTTCAATACATTTTTAAGAATACCTTAGGCTGTTTTTCTTTTTCTTAGTTTTCTGGTTGAAAGTAAGCAATTACTTAAGATTACTAAAAATTAAGTAATTATCAAAAACTTTAATTTTTTTTATATAAACTGTTCTGAAAGCTTTTGTTTAATTAGCTTTTAAATTATTTTAATGTACTTTATGGATTATCTCAGTGAAGCCCATTTTTCAAAAAATGACATAAAATCTAATAAAAATTCAATATTAAATTTTGTTTTACGTTTGAATGTTGACAATAATCACCACAGTAGCCAACATTCATACCGTACGGTATTTCATGAGACTAGATGTATATATCAATTAGCAGTCCATGAAAAACAATAACAAATATTTATTTTATTTTTTATTTTATTTTACTTTTTTGACCCTCAGAAATTTTAGTAATTCCCAAGAGAAATGTTAATACATAAATTAAAAATAAAATGTTGTGCTAATGCTAAAAAAATTAAAAACTTATGGTTAATAATACAAGATAGATCATTCATTATTTACAACCACCAATAATTTAAAGTCGAAAACTGACAAAATTTGAACATATTTAATTTTTCTATACAGGTAGATAAACAAATAACACAGTAAGAAAGTTCTTCTAAAAACATCATAACCCATAATGTGGGCTTGTCTCCTTCAGGGATGCTATTCTTTGGATATAAGCTTTCTTCAGTTTTTCTGTGTCAGATTATCTCTTCTCAATTTTTTTTTTTTTTATAATATTTTTAGAAACATATATATACATTCATATTTTCAACAACTCAACTTAATAAATCTGATATTAGCCATCATTATTGGTCAAATAAATTGTATCTATAACACACGTAGCATCAATTATACGGGACAATATATATAACTTGAATAAAACATTAATGTGATCTGATTTTATTAATCGTTGAAAATATATCCTGTTTTGAACATTTTTTTTTTAGATAGTATAAAGTAAACTTCCTCTGAATTGATAGTTACTAAACAATTTCATTTTTAAGCCTTAAACTTGTATTTAATTTCAAAGAATATAATAATTAGTTGTGTTATAAGATTGAAGTTATTTTTATGTTTCGGAAGATACGATATGAAAAATTATAAGTTATAATTACTTTATCAGTATTTTGTTTGTTTTTCTATCTAATTTTTTATTTTCATTATTATTTTTAGTTCCTTACTTTTATTTTTTGTTTTGCTTTTATTTGTTTCATATTTCAGACTTTTTTTTTTACCTTTCATTTTTACTATTTTATTTTTTTAAGTATTATATTTAAATTTTTTTTCTCTAATCATTTATTTATTTGAATTGATTTCACATCTTTTCCCCTCTTTTTTTTTTTATTTTACTTTTATTTCATCGATTTATTTTTTATCTTAATAGAAGAGGAATTTTTTTAATGGGGGGGGGAGGAATAAGTGGTTAAATTCATCTTTATTTACGCTTATTTTACTGTCCCATCTTTAGATAAGTTCACTAAAACCCTTTTTTTGTATTTATTGAAATTGACAAATTTATTAACTGAAAATATAATATGTTAATGTATTAATTGGTGAAAATACTCAATAGTAGCACTCCAATTATAGTCCAAAATTGGGAGATTTCGAGACAATCTTTTTTTCAGACACCTAGGAGGGTTGCCAGGAATCGAAGAGAAAGCGAAGTTAGAAACTAGTAAATTTGGATGGGTATGAAGGATAGGTATCTGAATTGTGCTAAATTGGCCACATATGGAACATTAAGGTCATTATCAATAATTTTATTTGTGACTTAAACCTGAGCAGAAGCTAAACATTGTCAATCAGTATTTTTCTCGGGTCTTATTTACTCTCCTTAAACTGCGCCCCTCACAAAGCTGTATTCTGCTATACTAGGGCCGTCATTCGCAAGAGTGTAAATACCATTATTGGACTTCCTGGATTAATCCGCTGCCAAGGGAGGCTTCTTTAAAACATTGGTCCATTGCTCAACGACTGTCCAATGTACACCATGCCCTTTTCCAATTTCGATTATTCAGTTGAAGTTGCTGAATGTGCCGAGAGATTAGGGGTTGATCAGGGACATTGGAATATGAGAGCTACAGCTACGAGAAAATTCATTTGTGGAATGGGTCTGCATAGAATTTCAGGTCACAGGGCATTGGAGTACGCCATTTTAAAGCGAAAGCAAATAAACACATATACGAAAAGCAAATACTTTCTGGATCTGAATGGTCAAATACCCTGAAACTTAATATCAATGATGCACCACTGCGTGGAGTCCCAGGTGTCAGCTGACAGGTCAGAGAAGTTGGGCCCCTCAGTCGCAAATGCAACAGAGAGCCTGAAACACCAGCACATGTGCTGGGAAAATGCTCCAACAACTCCCTCCTTATAACAAGCCGTTACCATCGGGTAAAGCGCGAATTAATCAGGTTCCTTTAGGAGAGGGATTATGTCTGTTTCGAAGGAAATCCATTGCATTAATACTTATGAATCCACGCGAAATGCCGACATCCTAAATTTTAATATAAGAAAGTCGCGCGCCCCTCTTATGGATCCACTAGTGGTCAGATGGTTCGGGTAACATTATGAATAAAGAGATACAGATCATTCAATAAATACAGTATCCAAGTTAACGTGTATACTATAGCTATGATATTTCTTATAATTAACAATTAGAAATATTGGCCTATATTGTAATATTAACAACTAAGAGAGCAGGGATGACAATCAATACGGACATACATTAACATTTACATCTTTTTAATTTTATCCAATTCCTATTATTCACAACCAAAAGATATAATATTATATAATTTAAGTTAACGGCGTAGATGGCCAACAGGTTTTACGCCTTTACTATACAACAACCAACTAACCAATACAGACATACAATAGTTAGAGTACAGGTATGTTAGATTTCCATTTGTCTATCTCATGTATCCACATCATTCTATATTATTATTTTCATATCATCCATCACCATTTATCATTATTAACTATTATCTGTTATATCATATTATATCTCTATGTTATACATTATACATTTTTCAACTCTGATGATGTCACACAAGCTAAGTTTAAAACTTGGCAAAAAAATCTTTAATAAACTGTCTGTGTCCTGACTATTTACCATCAATTTTAAAATAATAACTTTTCACTAAAGGCTCACTTCATTGAATCATACACCCGTAGCGATTCCGTTTCATTGATTTTACTCCTAAAAAATATTCCTGCCATGCAGTGTCATATTTCAAGCTATAAATTATACTTCAGAATAGTGATTTACTATATTTTTAATCGTATTCTTTTTGGATAAATATTGTGGTTTAGATACTGTTGGATAAAAATACATTTCCAAGCGTTATCAGCCTAGCGTTCCCACTAACTGTTTTATATGATTGAGGCGTTATGAAGCTGGTATCGCCTTGTGTGGATCGTTCACTGGCTCCTACTTCTCAAAGGGTCCATCATATCTCTTCCACCAATAACGATCCAGGATCCTCCTCCACTCTTCGCCTCCTCCCACCACACGGTCCTTAGAGTCGATAACATTTTTTTTTTCATTTTAAGGTTGGCAATAAAAACTTTCTTTTTTGCGATAAATTGTTATATTTGTCGCATATTATTTTTGTTAACGTTTCGCGATTGTTTTCCCATTCCCAGAACTCTCAGTTGCTTTCAATTGCAAATCAATTTCTAGAAATACAACTTTTTTTTTATTTATTTATTTAGAAATATAATAATCTGTCACATGGACAATAATTACAGTGGGATATGAACACATTCACACCATAATTACAGAAAACATAAAATTAACAAAAGTAAAATAATAACTAAATAATAATCAAATAACTATGTACAATAAAAGATAAAATAACCGAAAGGGAAATACAACTGTAATTAAAAACAAATGTTGTTACATGTTTAAACTTGTTATGGTTCACTATTATATTTACCCATTTGGAATTTGTGTTCCTTTCTCAGTTTTATACATTATTTTCTATAAGTTTTATCTGGAGCAACACATATCTTGACTAGCAATTGTTTTCCT